TTCGCCTATATATATATATATATATATATATATATATATATATATATATATATTGCTATCAATATGTAGCAATAAAATCGTAAATGAGTCAAATTGACTCGCTCCGGCAATCTAGTGTTAAACCAGATGGTTTATTTAGCAAATACAGAGTTGTTACATGTACATACGTTCGATATTGCTTACTGTTAGATAATTAGATCGTGGGTCTTCGTGCAAAATAAAAACTGGTCTTTGTCAATCGCAAAAGCGACAGCAGAAGTTCCTATCTTTCTTCAATAATCTTAATTAACTGACGTTTCAAGATGCTTGTAATCATTAAACTGTTGTCAATTGCACCATCCCGTTTTCTGTCATGATTGCATAAAATCCGCTAACGATAATCACTGAATAATCAATGCAATTAACGCGAACAATAACAAAACTCGCATCACAGCAGAAACATCGATAGCTAACGTGGAAACAATAAAACAAAAAAAACAAAACAAATAAAGTATTCAAGGTTTCGCCTGAAGAAAATTCCTCTCCGATGTCTGACGAATACACGTACACCAGAGAAAAAAAAACACAATACGATTTTCCTGCTCGTGTCGCTACGTTATCGATTACTTCTATCCATCGCAATGTTTGTAAACATTGCCAGTCAGCAATGTCGTAACATCTCGACGTGGACAGTTATTTAGAGACGATAACAACGTCGACGCCAGTTTTCAAAAAATCGATCGATCGAAAAAAAGTCTGGTTCAATTTTAATCTGCGGACCCTGGAATATCCCGTTATAGTTCACTTTGTCGAATGCTATCGTCGTTATGTCACCCGCAGTGTTCTGCAATAATTTGATACACAACCGCTTGATAGCGCGATCGATGGAACGAAAACAACGTTGTAGTCGATGTTCCTGGCAAGTGGAAATAGCGAGCAATAGTCAGACACGATGGCTCGATCGTACTCCATGCTCGCGTGCCTCTCAATTTATTTGAATCGATTCCTTCGAAACCGAAGTTATAATTTCGTCGAAATCATGCTGCTGTTTTTATTCGCTTTTTCTATCCCCCCAACAATTTCTCCTGCAACTGTTCTCATCGAAGTTATTCCTTATTTTTTTAATAGTTCGACGCAAGAAGAAGATAGTTCGAAGAAGAACCGTCTGATCTTTTACATCGACTTAAAGTCAATACGGATAAAAATTCTTGTTATTAAATGTAAA